GAGCCATGTGTTCTGTGCAGGATCAGTCCAGATGTGATGTGAACGTTGGCACTGCCCCAGACTGCTAAGCTAAGCCTGGCTAGCCAGCTTGCACGTCTGTTCCGTATGCTTCTCCGCATTTCTGTTTTCAGGATTTAGCTTCTCTCATGCTGACTTGTGTGAACATAGATGTACTTCACACAATAAACAGTGGCTTGGGCAAGACTGCAGCGTTCAGTGATAGGTGTAACTTTACTAGAAGCATCTAAAGGTTTGAAAATCTTTGTATGGAGCGCTGCATTTTGACGCAGCGTGGGAATTTCCAAGGTACTGATGTGTTTGCCTTTCTAATGGATCTTGGACAGAATTTTCATAAACAACTTTGCTGTTTTTTTGGACTGGTGTTCAGTGGCTAATGCAGTCCTCATTTAAGCCATTGTGGTTTCAGTGTTTTCTAGAAGTTCTTTTTCTTGTGGTTAGCAGTGATAAGAGTTTTGAATGCCATGAGAATTGCAGAACCGGGAAAAATCTGGGTTCTTGGTGTCCAGCCATGCTTCCTTTTCTGATAGACTAAAAAAATCCAAAACTTGTCAAAGCTGTCAGAGCAGTGTTTAACACTGTATTAGGGCATTTTGGAGTTCATAATCTCTTTGACATGTCACAGTCTATTTGAGATTTTTTTCTTCTTTAAGCCAGCTCTACACTGAGAGTCAGCTGGAGGTGTCAGAGGAAAACAAATACTCAATTGTGGTTAAATATTTCAAAGATGAAAGCGATGAGATGGGCCAAACTATTGACAAGTATGTGTCCTGGTACTGGAGACCACAGAAATGGAGAAGACCATTTGTTTTTAAGAATTTTCATGATAGCAAACAGAAGTTTCTGAGTTCTGTTGTTTGAAGATGGAAGCTTAAGTGCATGAGAATTAAGAGTCTGACCTAAGATAAGGCTCTGACCTAAGGTTGATGTTCCTTGTCAGTTGAAAGAGGAGGATGAAATATGATCGGTGGCATAGATTCAGAGCGAGATTCCCATCTGGTGTAATTTAGCCCAATTTCATTGAATTAATCCATTTTCAAGGTAGTGAAGTTAAATTGAATTATGTAGTCTGAGAATCTGGCCTTTTGTATAACCTCACTGTTTCACAGGAAAATCAATGCAGACTTAAACTGTAATCCAGCCCTCCTCACAGTTTCAGCTACATCTGGAACTCTATATGAGCTGGAAGCGCAGTGTAGTAAGTCACTACCTAAAGACGGAGGAGATAGACCAGGAGAGGCTTTGAGAGATCTGCTGCTCCCTTTCCCAATGCATGAGCAACTCTAACTGTATCATTCCTGGAAGACACCTGCTTTACTCTTGCTTTAGTGATGGAGATTCTCCAGTGCCTCTAAGCAATTTGTGCCTGTCCTTAAAAAGAGTTCACATAACATCTCTTTCCAGGTTTTCTTGCAGGTGTTTGATCCTGGTCATTGCCTGTTCCGCTGCAGTAGCTTCCAAGATGTTTGGCTGCTGCTGTCCCCTCTCAGGCTACCTTCTCTCCGTAGGTTTAATAGTCTCAGTTCATTCAGTCTCTTCTCATAGTTTGTGTTTGTCTGACCTCAGATTATTCTGGCTGCCTTTCTCTGGGTTCCTTCCAAGTCTTATTTGTCTTATTTCATTTGCTGTATTTGAAGTGCGTCACCCCAGCCTGGACAGTACTGCAGGCTGAGCCTTGCCAGTGCTAGGAGGTGGAGACTCTTAACTCAGGTGTAAATCAGTCTGTAGTCCTGCTCTTACACCCTCGTATGATGACTGCCATCTTGTCATCAACGTGACGTTTTGGTCCCCTGTTATCCGAGGCGCTGTCTGTACAGTTCAGCCAGGGCGCTCCGTCTTGCTGGTACCTGCTAGAGCTTCCCAGGAGGGAAGATACCTTGACCACGCTCAATCCAATAGCGAGCTCAAGCTCTGTCCATGACATCTGAATTAACTGGAAATACATGAGCGGGAGTCCACAAAGCACAGCCCAGGCCATTAGCCGGGATCTTGATCCTGGCTTTTCCTCAGTAGAATTTAGGCTCTGGAGCGATCAGCGAGCAATGTGAACACAAATCATCTGTTGCCAAAGCTTGCGGTGGCTGAGCCTGATCGTTGCTGCTATTTTTCACTGCTCACACATGGGAAGGAGCAATGAATGGCCCCAGTGGTGAGGACTGTGTAGGACAGGGAGTTCTGCATGTCAAATCCAGCTACTGTCCCAGTGCAAGCTCCTCATGACATGTGTGCTTGTTTATGCTCATTTGTACTGTATTTATTTTTAAATGCAGTAAGTTGTTGCATGAATGTGAGCTGTAAAATTGATTTTGAAATTCTTGTGTTTTATGTGCTTTTATTCCCACGATTACACTAAAGCTGTAATGACCTGTTAAATTAGAAATACTATGTCCAATGGACAAAATCACATACCAGATAATGTAGGACACATTAAGTAATCATGTAAAGAGCCAGCTTAGAGCTTTGTCAGTTCATTAAAATCTGGCACTTATGTATCACTTTTCATGTTCTGTACAGGCTGATAGTTAACTGATGACTATTTTAATAAGAAAGTTGAACCAGTACTGTTAAAATGAAATGACTGTTTTCTGACATCAATACAGATCTTGTGGCAAGATACTGAAATATCTTACGGTGGCTCTGGTCACATCTGGAGACAGTTCTGTCTGTGCAGACAGGCCTTCCCCAAAAAGGGAAGCAAAATAAAGATTCCCCAGCAGTTGGCCTGTATTAACTAAACAGATATTTGCAAACAAAAAGTTTGATATCCTTGTAATAAATCCAGCACAATTAGAGCACGCGTTTCAATGTTGCAGTTGGATCTGCCCAAGGGAGGGATTCCTGCACCTGGGCAGGTGCTGGTTGACTTCAGCATTATTCCATGTGGGGAAAAGCATCTTTTCAGAAAAGTCTGAAGGGGGAGGTTTTGTACACATGTACTTTTTTTCAGATGAGGGGATAAAGGGAAATATAGGCCAACCCTAGGGCTGGCAATTTAGCTAGAAATGAATAGCTTGTAGGTCAGCAGGCATGGCAGCAGGTGGAAATTCTGTGCAAGCACGGTTGGGGCAGAATTACACCATGTTTACCGATCACAGTGCAAGCATCCAGCTGGCAAAATGAACCTTTCGCAAGTATAGTGTGACCATTGAGAAATACTAGTATAGCACAAGAAGGAGAATCCAGGTACAGCACAAATTTGTTCCCTTTCTGGTCAGTAGGTTGAGGCATCGTATCTCTTTGAAAGGCTAATACAAACTTGCCGGGTCATTTTGGTGTATGCGTAAATATGTCTGTGCGGGCACGTGGTCATGTACAGTGTTCTAAATCAGTTATAGTTATTTTTTACTGTGGAGATAAAAAGACTTCTAAAGAAAAGATTCATAGATTCATAGATTTCTAGGTTGGAAAAGACCTTAGAGATCATCGAGTCCAACTGTCCCTAATCCCCATTAAACCATATCACTAAGTAGATCATCCACCCTATTCTTAAACACATCCAGGGATGGGGACTCAACCACCTCACTGGGCAGCCTATTCCAGTGGCTGACAACCCTTTCAGAGAAGAAATACTTCCTAACATCCAACCTGAATCTCCCCTGACTAAGCTTATACCCATTTCCTCTTGTTCTATCACCCATCACTAATGTAAAGAGCCCTTCCCCCACCTCCCCACCATCTTTTCTCAAGTATTTGTAGGCTGTAATCAGGTCTCCCCTCAGCCTCCTCTTCTCCAGGCTAAACAGCCCCAACTCCCTCAGCCGCTCCTCCATTTCCAAAGGTGGTTTTACTCTCCAGCACTGGACAGAGTTTGAGCAAAGCAACCTGAAACAATGAATACTGAATCAAAACTAGGTGATACCAGACAAGGAGTCTGAATTCCCAACATTTAACTACCAGAAACATCTGTTGCTGTGTGTTGGCAGTTCCACTTTTTTAAAAAAGTGTATTTAAGATGGAAACAATTTTATGAATTTTAAAAAAAAAAGTCCCCAACACATGTATCTGTAATTACCTGGTTTAGTCTGTGTGTTTTATCAGTATGAATTGAGAATGCCATGTATGTTTGATTTTAATCTCAAAGAGCAATTGAGCACTGGACAGTTACTCTTCCCCCATCTGCTAGTTTGTGCCTATGCCAAAAAATACCCCACCACCCAACCAACCAAAACCACCCAAACAACTAAAACCCAGGACGAAGGGGGAGGATGGAACTAACACATGGAGATTTTCTAAAGAAGCCACTTGACACCGATTAACTGTCTCATTTCCTTAAAATATTGTTTTAGATTTAGGTCTTTGTTTGATTCTGAAATTAGGATTTTTTTTTTTTTTTTTTTACATGTAGTTGAGGAATATCACTTAAAGACTGGCTGTGTTCCAGCATCCAGCTGGCATAGCTACAGAGTGTGTGAAAGTGAATAGCATACATATTCTGCGGTGGCTTCCTCATCCTGCTGCAGAT